ATGTCAAATTATGAAGTTTAAGCTTTAAGAGATCTACTTGGTCAGGGGCATGGCCACACGATTTTTCAGCTTAGCAATGAGTTTCTTTTAGGCATATAGATTGAATATCTTTTTATCCCGGAATTCCCAAGGGTAGGGAACTTCACAGGTAAAACCGAGAGGCACAGCTAGTAATAACATAATAGAGCAAATTTGCTGCATATATTTTATAGACAACTTGCTATCTATATTTCTCGCCGTAGAGATCAAATTAAAAAAATATATGAAACCCCTTTTTTTAAGATTCAGTTTAGTATCTAAGCTAAGTTTCAAAGCTGTCATGCTAGCCAAACTCGTTTTCTCAAACAAACTTTGAACCCCTCTATCTCCCAATTAACGGTGTAATAATAAAAAATCCTTTCTCGCTTGATGCCTATGTCATTTAAACAACCTATTTACTAAATATCATGTCCCTACGACCAAAAGCGTAGGCGTGCGTTGACGCACTATTTAAAATTTCAACATGCTTTAACTTTGTTTTATGAGGGTAGTTTTGAAAATTGAAAACACAGATATCATTTTTATTTTATACAGAGTAGGTGTGCAAAATTTTAATCAATCCTATGCACTTTTGGATGATCTCCCATACAAACTTTGACTTTGAACATTTGATATTTTTTGAGGGTAGTTGTAAAAAAATATGTAACAGGCTTAGTGTGTACATCTAATAAATAAGGTTCATGCACAATTTGCAGTCAATAGGTCCAAGGGATGAGATGCATACGTTTGTAGATTCCTTTCCGCTGTTGTTGAAAATACTTTTTATTTTTACTATCTACAGAATCTTCATTCCATGTCGTATCTCAAATAAAGAAAGACTGAGTTGATAGTTTGAATGGCCCAACATTCACTATGAGATTCTTTGCCGTGCCAAATCACCTACCATCAGTGCACTATCGCAACTGTTTTATTCTTGTTTGTACGAAAAAAAAAATAAAAAATCTATAATTACAGAGATATCTGGAATCGCACATTTTTTTACGCTTCGGTATAATATTTGCGCATGTGGTATGGACTTTTGCTGTCATGAAGACAAATGAAGTGAATATAAATAGTTAACACAACGTTTATACAATTTAAGCTAAACTGTCTAATATTTACAGTAAAAAATAAATAAAAATCTCTATTTAATTAGATCAATTAGGTACTTTAATAGAATTCGATTTGAAAAACTTAATTTTGGAACACAAAGAAGAAAGATCGAGCAAAGTAATTACTAACGTCAAATAAACATACACACAGCCTGTATGCATAATGCTTAAAAATACCCAAGAAAGAGGGAGCTAGACACTAGATTATTTTATACAATAGGGAGAATCCCAGAACATAAATATCCATTGGGACGATCTTATAAAAATGAACGTCTCCAGAAAGGGGGTAATAAAGGGGCGTTCAACTCTTCTTGTCATCAGACATAAAGGAGAAAATATAGCGAGAAATTAAAATGAGTGAGACGTGGTCAATGTAAACAAGGGGGACGCGCTGTGGGTGAGACGATTTTATTTTGCAATGTCGGATCAATAGAAAAGTGGAACACAGGATATTACTGGACACAGAAATAAAAAGGCGTACTTTAATTACGCCGCGAGACGCTTTGAGATGCCATCGAGTGCTCCGAGCTCTGTGATGCGTTTTTCCTTGCCATTCACAGCTATTTATCCGTTTTGTTTTCTTTACAAAATGGCACTTTTAAAACTTTCTCTTCGACAACGGCACTTCTTTTTCAGCTCCATGACAATTAAACACTTTCTTTGATGTCGATAGCCTCCAAAGTTTTGGTTGTAGTTGTATTCTTTTATGAATTAATACCCGGGGCGCAGATAAGGACATTGCGATAAAACTTCGTCAAATATTTGAATTGTCTACTTCTTCTTATTCGGAGACGCTGTGCGCTGAAATTTGCTTTTGAATCAAGAATAAGACTAAGGATTATAAATACAACGCACAATCTCCTTCATTTATCTTACGAGGCAGAATAATTTGAATGAATTAATAAATATAATCCGATTAAAAAAAACATGTTTATTGATCTTTATTTGAATTTGAATTTGAAAAAAAATATCATTTGAAGAGCTCTCGCCCAATACATTTAGTTTAAAAAATGGATGCGTGTAACTTATGTACGCGCGTGAGTTATACTTCTTTAGCATCATTAAAAATGTTTTTTAATTGCATGCAAATAATTAATAATTACAATAAACTAATAAAAGGACTGGAAAAGGATAGTTAACACAGTTAATTAAGTTCAGTTTTAATTTGAAAAATTAAATAAATATTCAAAATATTCAATTAAAATCACTACTGAATTTAAGTTATTAGTCCATATGTAATTAGCACTTGTAAGTAACTAAAACACGTTGTGTCTATATAGAAACTAGAAACATGTGGATAAATATTACAAATATGAAAACAGTGATCAGAGGCGACGAGCGAGCCAACATTGTTTTTGATAACGCGATCATCTTATGGAGCTCCGTGGATCGTTCAAAGTACCTTTCGAACAGATGTCTAATAATGGTGGATTATTAACCACTAAGTGGTTAATAATCCACCATTATTAGACACTAACATTCATAACGCGCCCGCGGCCAACTTCATGGTGTTACTATTGTGTTACAGTGATGCGCGCGCATCTAAAAATTTAACTCTCATCATTTTTTCATAACGCGCCTAAAGAAGTATAACTTCAAAAATATTGCTAGTTTTTTCCAAGAAGGTTGTGAAAGTTCATAAAATATATGTCAATGACATTAATGCTTTTCATAAACTACAAATAGCCTCGCTAAGGCCGCTTTGTTTCATCAATCTATAGGTTAATTTGATATTAGTAAAAACAACAAGTGAAAAAATGACCACTTTTTAAAAAACTGACATAATTACTATGTATTTAAAGTGATATTTACTGTAGTCAAGTTTAACCACTGGCTGAAACCTGAGCATGTAACGCGGCTTATGACTATGGTAGTTTGCAATACTTGTGTTCCCTGTATATTTTGGTTATTCGCTTAGTACGAGTGTCCTTGTAAACAGCCCGGAGTCTAAACGATTTTCAATCAAGAAACCATTATTTAAATTGATGTAACATTGTGAACTATTAGAGTCTCATTCAATAGTTAAGAGTAAGTAAATAGGCATGATTCTAATCAAGTTAAAGACATCCTTAGACGTTTAATCACTTAGCTAACTTCGAAAATAATCTGGAATGATAAATGGCAGTTCAAAGTTTAGAATCGCACGGCTGTAATCTAACTAGATATTGTAATTAGTTTAGCCGATCTGAAAAAGTTATTTGAAGTTAAAGTTATCATAATTCATGATAAATGCATTGTTTTTTTTACATAAATATGCCAAACCAACTTAAAGTTTTCCTGATAATAAGTAGCCATGATAGCCTTTAAATTTGGAAAGTAACATTTGCAACGCTTCTTATTACTTTTGAAAAGCAGCTTAGAAATATAAGTCACATAATTATTAAGAAAGAACATGCCTATATCACCAACATCCTAATTATCCTTTACTAGCTTTATAATACAAACTTGTTAAATCAAAGGGTTTCCAAAACTATTTAGACCGTTGATATACATTTACTAATTTTGTTTAGAAAACACAGCAGCTGGTTGCCGGTAGATTCTTCTCTTTTTGTTTATTCAGCATCGTCCTTTAAAGCACGAACTTTGACAGCTCCGTAATTGTATTGCATTGGCAAAGTTTTTATGTCAACTAAGCAGGAAAAAGACAGATTGTACCCCTAGCACGAACCAATATCGAATTCGTATCGTGTGCGAGTCCGAAATGTCATTGTCAAATGTGTACTGATTTTTAATCCTCGTTACGTACTTTGTGCCGCTGCTGTTCAAGTTTCAATACAAAATTTGACATTGACATTTCGGTTTGCAAACTATTCGAATTCGATAATGGTTCATGCTAGGGGTACAGTAGCGCCCCTACTGGACGTAATGGCTGATTTTCACTTCGGTAAGTACAGTAGCGAGTTAACTTACGGTCTTGGCGATGGCGAGTAAGTTTTTCTCATCGATTGGACAGGGATTTGCCAGTTAAGTACGTACTGTTTAACTGTCCGATTTCTAAACTCGCTGCTGTACCTACCGAAGTGTAAATTAGTCATGGTCTTTTCTATACAAAATTGACTATGACCATATGATTGGGATCGGTCAAATTCGTACTTAGGTTACAAAACAAAATATTGATGACACAAGCTGTGGTCGATATTAATTGTTTGATTTGGTTCGTGTCATAAGCAGGCTGTCCTGAATGTCCGATAGTGGCTTAAGATAGTGCATACCTTATCTAGAATTGAACCTATTCATACACTATTTATTTAATGGGAACCGAAAATGTACTAACAGGAATTAAATGCCGCCGCCGGCACCAAATTACATTAATACCGCCTTAATGCAGAGTGTTATTGCATTCTTATTCTAATATAACAACCATTTTCAAACGATAAAATGGTTCCTGCAAATCGAGTAAACACGATACGTTTTGATTGTTATGAGAAAAGTGGTGTAATGTTAATATTATTATTGTTATAATAAGCGTTCGTAATAAGGCTTCAAGGATGGCCGTGTTGTACAATCAAGGAACTTATTTATTTTACATAGCATTATAATGAAATTTTATTTCTTAGATAACAGGAAGCTATCAGAAGATTTTGTTGTACAATAAAATTGTTGTTTTTCATTGTTCCAATTTTTTATTGATAAGATTTAATTAGTCTGTACTTGTACCAACTTATAAATAAACGAAGACAACGCTTGGATTCGTGACACCATGTTTGCTCTCTATCTATTGAATGACAAAGGGCATTTGAGTGACATGAATAAATCTCGCCGTAACTGGTCTTAGCTTATTCCTTATTTATTAATTAGGGGATAGTGTATATTGTATAAAGATCTTTAAGGGTGGTGATGTGCCAATTGACGTCAACCTCTTTGTCCCAGGTGTCCCGTTCGACGTCGCAACAAGTCGTGTTGCGGGATGCGACGCGCGCTTTAGCGGGACGGTACCGATGTGAAGTGTCAGCGGACGCGCCATCTTTCCATACGCAAGTCCGCTCCGCTTTCATACACGTCGTTGGTGAGTATTAGCCTTGGGTATTACATCATAATTATTATTAATTAGTTTTATAGGTACCTACTTTAATACACTTATTACTCTTTGTACGAGACGACCGCCTTATCATGATAAACAAGGACGAAACTTCATAAGTGCAGTGAGACGTCATAAACAGTTCGTTTATAATCGATAGTGAAATGTGAATCTGTAAGTGATATTTTTGTAGATTCATGCATTAGTTTCATTAAGATATATAAGATAGATAGTTTCGATAATACATAGGTTTTAATGTTAGGAATCCGCATAGACGGTTGCTATGGCAACGGATCATAGGTCGTAATTCGTAAGTTGATAGTTTGGATTAGTAGAAATTGTAAGCAATCATAAGTGTTTGAATTACGTGTTTCCGATTGTTATTATTTGTGTATTTTACAATACGCACTAAGTATATTCTTTGCTCGTAAAATCTGAAAATGTGAATAAAATAAGAGCAACGTGTAAACAACGCATTGGTCACTCGTCGTAATAAAAATCATAAAACACTTCCGTCTACGTTACACTTTGTACAAAAACAATAACTGAAGACCTCCTAATGTGTCAACAGTTTGCATGCAAAATTGTGTCTTCATGCGATGGCGATAAGAATGAAAATGTTTTCTGGCTCGTTGGCGAACGTCCGCAATTTGCATGGCGGGGCCCATCGATCCCACAAACCGCTGTCTCATCACTATCACACCATGGATGGAACGTAAACACTGACATAGTACACTGTGAATGAGTAGATTATTTTTTAAAAAAATATCTAACTTCCTAATTTTTCATTATAGACTTTAAAATCATCCACTCGATTTGCCTTATACCGGCTTCATTTTGTAATAACGCAGAATTTATTTTTCGACTATTCATACAACAGTTTTCAACCGCATAAAAGGGTGTCGTTTTAAATAAAAACTAATAAATTATATTTAGTCTGAACCTAAGCATTTCTTTTGTTGTAAATATTAGGAATCATTAAACAGAAATAATGCTCTATCCGGAATCTTCTGTAGAGACTTTAAATTGATTATTATTCTTTTTTCTTAATTTTTCGTTTGATTCTAGATGGTCCAAGTGTGTACAAGTTGTCACTTATGACTTTGTTGGCAAAAGGGCATAGCGGCTTATCGGCTCGAATGGGAGCGCCCATCTGGGGAAGTAATCTGTACCTTACAGAAGATAGTAAAATAACACTAGCTTTTGGTGGTGTTGTGTTTCTGTCAATGAGTAAGTTTCCAAGGCTCCACGGGGCAGGGAATTGGGACAGAGAAGGGAACGGCTTCTGGTATTGTGCTCGTCTGTAGGCTATGGTGTCCGCTTACTATAAGGGGAGCCGTGTGCTATTCTGCCGCCCTTTTCAAATAAAAAAAATACGTGACTTTTTTGTATAAGTAATCTAAATTTGTATGTAGATCATAAAACAAGTTAGCACTGCATCCTTATAATAGTCACATTTTTAAAATAACATAACATTACAAATAGATTGTCAACCACAAATTACGGTCCAAAAAATATATGAATAAACATCAATGTTACTTTACTGAACCCCCTTGCAGCAAAGACCGGGTCAGCTGAATAGTTTTTCTGCGAACAACTCCGAATGTTATTTTAGGTCGATCCGTTGATTGCTTTTTGAAAATTAAGTGCGAGAATATTTTGGGATTTACTAAAATAATAGTTTCCTCGAAATACGAATATATGAGCCTTACTTTATAACTTTTTGGTAATCTCATAAAAATCTGGTAAAAAAATAACGCGAAAACGCGTACCCATTTGAAACCCTAAAGCGGAACATACAAACTATTAGGGTACACTTCAAAGTAAAAGGCAACTTGGGGGATTTGAGTTTCTGAGAATTTCCACAGTGGATTCCATTCATACGTGTACCGCGTACCCACAAATTCATGATTACGTAACCTTTCATATTTCGACTTTGGTAATCTTGGTAACACTATAACACAACAGTCGAATGGTCAGGATTATTCAATTGCTCACTTAAGCTTCATAAATATGAGCGGCTCGCAGCCCATGACATCGCTACTGCAGCCGTCTCGGCCGTTAACGTGGTGTCGTGCTGCCGTGGACCTGTCTACTTCTGATGGCTCGTCGGCGGCGATAGTCGCAATGTTATCGGCAGAGGTCGACAACTAGTGCTGAAATGTGGCGACGGCTGCCGTTGCGATGCCATCTGCTGAAAGCCGCTTGTATATATAAAGCCTAAGTGGACACAGATATTATTAAAAACCACAAGTCATAATACGAAAAACACAGTCCATGGGGCAATTGCGCTGATCAAAGTTTCAATAAAATGAGCGGTGAAATTAAAGTATTATAGAATATTTGGGATTTTATTTAGATATTTTTAGTGTTCCTTACCTCAAAACTAAAAAAGAAACCTTTTAAAGAAAAAAAGAGGAACACTTCTCGTCCTTCTATTTTTTTATCTACCAAAAATCTTTATCCTAGAATCGCATCGCACAGAAAACATTTGCCGTTTACACCTGTTTACACCCCATTTTTCGACACTTGCGAGGAAACCTAGAATCATGTTATTTAGCAAGAACTAAACATAAACACAGTTTGTACTATATTTATTTTACAAATATATCTTAACATTATGTTTGTAACAACATTATTTAAGATGGTACCTTCCCCCTTAACTATGTACGATAAATTAATACACCGCGATCCCGAACAAAAAGCTATTCCAATAAAAAAGAATGACCCTCTCAACAATGAACCTACTAATAGTTGCCGAGTAATAAATGAAAGAAAATTTACAACCTCCCGGCGCTTTCCGGTCATTTTTCGTATGCTAGATTTTTTACGGCCAAACTTAGCGACGATCGCGAATTGAAACATTCAATTCCTTTGAATATGGCTAATTTAGTGATTTCAGTGCGGAGATGTTTCTTTTATGGACAAACTTTTACTTGTGAAGTTGAAGATGAAAATCTAAGTATATATACTTACATACTTTTTGATCGTCGACTAGGTATAACGTAGAAGTAATAATGTGGCTTATTATCCATTGAATCGTACGATGGAAAACCTGTTGGTTTTATGCGATTTGTAATAAAACATGATGATGATGAGGGTTTAAACAACGAATAAGTTAACCTAGCGTTAGCATGAGCATTGCGAGCATTATTTTCTGTATCGAAAAATAGAAAAACCAATTAATATCAATCTATATATCTCAACCTGAACTAAAATACCTAAATCAAAATCAAACTGCGTGTCAAACTATTTTTTATAATACAAAATGTATTCTTACGTTTTCACGCACACCGCTCATTAAATAAAATTAGTTCCAACGGTATAGATACACTGATTTATTTATTTATTGACGTTTTATCACGTAAAGCATGCGAAACGTCAATAAATAAATAAATCAGTGCAGTTGTTTAACGAAATGTAATGAATGATAACCGATTTTTATGTTTCTACCCAGTAGTACCCAAGCGGCGGGGGAGCGGTTGTGAAATCCACATGGATACCCTGCAGCAGGCTGCAAAGTTATGTCAGACTCTTACTGGCTAAAAGTTTCATCTGCAGCGAATCACCCCTCATTTGTTTCAAATGCTTATATACTTTTTATATAAACATAACGTTAGCGCGACTCAGAAGCCGTTGCCGTTGGTACTCGCGGTAGCGTTGTGGAACTAATAATATTTTACTGTGGGGTTTAAATAGTTTTTTTGACGTGACAACGTCTTAAATTAGGTTGCGGCTGGGAGTCACTTATGAAAAAGTGTAACGCTCGGTAACGTTACGATGAGTCTCTCGTGTTAAGTTTAAGTTTACATGTACAATGTTTTAGTAAACAAAATATATTTCTATAGTTAAAATTTGTGCAATTCTTATTTTCATTCAATTCCTTGTTCCTATTGTGCAATTTAATTATATTCATATCAATAAATATTCTACCGAGAAAAAGACGTTGTCACGTAAAATCTTCGCCCGTAAAACCGACTTTACAGGCAACCATTTTTTTTTATTTTGTTGCAATGCAAGGTTTTCGCTTACAATAACTTCATCTATGTCACTATTAATGTTTTCTTCTAAGGAATTTTCAATACGAAAGAAATTTTCTTTAAAAGACTTTTACTCTTAAACTAACAAATCTATCTTAACCGTTATAGTTTTCATTAAAAGTTCATGAAAAGCACTATTATCATGATTTTTTCAGGTTTTTCAAGCCAATAGTTCAGCTTTTATCGAAAAATAGTGTAAGAAACCGCTAAACAATTTTAAAGGGCTTATTAAATAATATCCCACACGATAGGGTAAATAATGAAAAAAAATCATCCCCAGGCTACTACTATCTACTACTATCTAGGGGAGATACATTAAAAAAAATATTATACCATTTTGTCGGCATGACTGGTATACACATCACCACAAAATTACAGCTCTCTAGTGCTAATAGTCTCCAAGCAAAACCGGGGACGGACAGACGGACACGACGAAACTATTAGGGTTCCTTGTCAGGACCACGGAACCCTTTGATAGATAATCATATCGCCCTGCTCACGCTTTTAGAACTGTACTCCTCCCTACTGCCAGTCGAACAGTTCCTTCAACTGCGTAAGGGAGCTGGTCGGCTGGCCAGCGGTTACTTGAACTGCGGTACAAAATTTGGTTTAGACGGATCTGACTAGGTACGGATTACAATAGTATTCGTTCACACTTGCGTTGAATAGTTTCTGCAACATGCCCGCCTAATTGCTCCATTGTCAAGTTTACTTTCCTGATAAGGAATACCCGATTTGGGAATCCTGATGATAAAATCTCATTTACAAATAGTTATTTCTAACTTCTCCCATCAAAATTGCACATTAAAGCAACCCTTTACAATGAAATGTTACAACTTTCTATCAAAAGTTTCATTTTTACGATCGCCTTAATAATCCTATAAATTTTGTATTAGCTTTCAAGGGAAACATCACAAACGAAGTTTTTTATTGGATTGCTATTTTTCTATAGCGATTCGCCATCACAGTACTCGAGTGGGGATATAACCAATAAAGGCTCTTTTACAATTCATTCGCTTTTAATGACTCGAGTCCGCTCTTTCTGAATATTAAAATTTAAATTGCACTTTCATTTGAAATAATGCTTTCTTTCACAAATGATTTTAAAAATATCCATGCACTTAATGTAGTATACAAGGCAGATGTAATGTTAACTTTTTGGGAAACGATAATAATCCGGAAGAAGACACTTAAATTGTTATTTATTAAGTTTTGCTCCCTTTATAAATTTTCAGAATTAAGTAGTAACAGCTTCGTAACTTTAAAACAGGCTACTGGGAAAACGGATTTCATTTTAAATTGCACCTATTTTGGTGTGCGAAAGTCCCCGAAAACGTTAAAACGTCTTTATTACCGGGGTTCCGGTCCTGTTACCAATCATAATAAAGAATGAAACGCTAAGGTAATATTTTCTCCGCCTTACTTGGTCCCGCGAAGTGAAAAAAAAGGAACAAACGGCCATTTTATGCGCGAAGTGTTCATGTTTATGAAGGTTATATAGCTTGCGAGAAAATTTAGCGTCGGATAATATTGTCGCTGAAAACTAAAACATTCAGGTTCATTCCAGGTACACTTGTATTTATTTCCGGAATTCACTTACCAAAATGAACCTTACCTTCTTGTTTGTTGAACTTTTACAAAATTTTGTGCTAACTTTGTTATTAGTATTCGTACTTTCTGATTTAAACACGTTTTTATGTTAAATAAAGAGAAGTTTAGTGGTTTAGTCGAGTAGGTAGAACTTTTCTTTGATTATTCCTAAATTATGATAAAAAATATCTTATCCTATTATTATCATGATCTAAAGATCGAAAGATAAATTTAAAAAACTGTGTTTACTTGAGAACAAAATCAAACAACCATTCAGGACACAAATGTGTAACAAATTGACTAGACAGGAAATAAATTTTCAGGGGGTCTACTCTAAACGAAAAACTAAATTTTTATTGAAACTTCCCACAATTCTTATTATGATTCTATTTCGTTTCTAACTAAAATAATATTCGTTCGCCCGAATATAGATTGAGGTGTAGATTAACTAAGCCAATCGAATTGGATAGTTTATCGTTCGAACTAAGTACAATCTCAATTTGATGAAATGAAATTTCGCTTGAATATCGTTACCGAAAGTTTATTTCGGAGAAAGCGAGAAAATCCCCACGTCCTCAGAAATCCCCGGTAGTGACAAAGGCATCGGTAGCCATCGGTACAGCGGGTTCTATAAATAATTCGCCAATATGCTTGTAATGGTACCTCCTCAGGTTCGAGTGGTCTAGAGGCTCCAGACGGAGAGGAGACTCCCCCCGCCCCCTTGGGGAGATATATTTATGGTAGAAATTCAAAAACCTTTCTGGGTTTCATCAGATAACATTATATTTTAAGATTTCAATATATGAATAGGTACCTAGATAATTTCTCTAACAAGATTTCTGCTGGTCTGGCAGTGAAATATTTTTTTTCAGCCTTGACGGATTTGAATTCAAAGTAAATAAAAGCATGGACGAACATTTTAAAATTAGTGGCCCCCAATTAGGTATATTGAGGAAGTAGACAAGGAGAACGGTTGGGGGCGGGTCAGACAGAAAAGACGTAAGACGTAGACGGGGCGCAGACATATGTCTTACCACATCCTTTTCATACCAAACCTATAGAAGTGTCACGTCGCAGAACATATAGAAAAAACAGGGCGCACGGACACGTTTCTTCTTTATTATGTATGAAACTGACAATGTTTGTGTCCTATCTGCGTCACACGTCTTCTCTTTGTGTCCTGCGCCTTATACGTCAGGTTTTTCCTAAACGAAAAACGTGCTCAGAGATGGTACATACCTGCGTGCTTAACTCTGATAAGCCGAGCTCATCAGGAGGTAGACTCGCAAAAATTTTGATTTATTCAAAAACCTATAGATAAGTAAAGAATATCGTACATAATCAATACATGCTTAAATGAGAAGGAACACTGCAAACAGATGATGGCAGTTAAGCTTATAGTCATCCTGTTGGAGTTTGCCTCGAACAAAGCGAACCAAACTAGGTACTTACAGCTTGAACAACAGAGTAAATACACGAGCGAATAAATAATCTTTGATTCAATGAGCTTCACAAAAAGGTAAAAAAGATGGCACAGAGCCGTAAAAAATAAGCTGCATCAAGAATAAGCTGTTTGCTAGCCACAAAGTGTTTTATATCGGCGCAGCGATTATATGAGCAGCTGCTGTATTTACTGAAGAAGATTTTCATCGTCTACACTGGAAAACAAATAAATCGGGTCACTTGCTACCTCGGAACTCTGATTTGATTTTCTCAAAAAGTATAAAACTTACAACTATCATAGTGATACAGAAAGACACCTACAGAAAGTGTGTTTAATGAAGATTGAATATTTTTGTAAAAGTTTTTATTAAGAATTTTCCAAAGAAGACTCGTTTTCCATTTGTGTAAATCGGTAGTAAAATACCTAGCAAAAACACGTGTGACAAAACGATTGAAAACACTAAAGAAATTATATCTCGAACCCGCACCCTTCGCAATCCGGGCGAATGCACTGATCAATTATGCTACCGCGGCCCTCACAGACCGCGTCGAAATTCTTCTAGCTATTCTTAAGCTGCAAGGCAGCGCCATCTCTTCGCATTATAGGTAACCCACAATGTCAAATGAATACTTTTACAAGTATTAAACATTTGAAAGAAGAAATAGCAATTATAGTTATAAATTTTATTATTTTGAGGGCCGCGGTAGCATAATTGGTCAGTGCATTCGCCCGGATTGCGAAGGGTGAGGGTTCGAGTCCCGTCTGCTGCCTGGTCCGCGTGGAATTTTTTCTAGTTATATTTTCTTTAGATTTAAACATCGAGCAGTTACATGCTTTAAAAATAATAAAATTTATAACTATAATTGCTATTTCTTCTTTCAAATGTTTAATACTTGTAAAAGTATTCATTTGACATTGTGGGTTACCTATAATGCGAAGAGATGGCGCTGCCTTGCAGCTTAAGAATAGCTAGAAGAATTTTGACGCGGTCTGTGAGGGCCGCGGTAGCATAATTGGTCAGTGCATTCGCCCGGATTGCGAAGGGTGCGGGTTCGAGTCCCGTCTGCTGCCTGGTCCGCGTGGAATTTTTTCTAGTTATATTTTCTTTAGATTTAAACATCGAGCAGTTACATGCTTTAAAAATAATAAAATTTATAAATTATATCTCATTTTGTAAAAAAGAACTTTAATCGCAACTTCATTCAAAAAACAGGAAATGCTTGATTACACAGTAAGTCATTACTTTAAAAAACAATTTTACTCAATATAATCATTATGAAACGCACTTCATGTAGGTATAATTTTGATATTTGTAAGTTTACTCTTTGAGAAAATCGATCAGAGTTCCCAGGTACTAGCGGGTAACCCGTTTTATTTGCGGTCGAGTGTATAACCTGCAGACATGCAGGCCTTCCTTTTAAACATAAGGAGTATTAAAGAAATTAGAATTTAAAACAGTATTCAGTAAGCAAATACGGTCTTCATAACGTTTCCTTATATAATATACGAAAATGTTTTAAAGCGCTAGATAACAGTTTACCCACAGACGGTTGACCTCAGTGCGGCCGTGAGTTATCCTTTTCTCTTTAGTTCCCTTTTGTTTTGCATTTTCCCACAGGCGGTTTGCAGTATGATTTGCAGATCTGAGAATCTGTTCTGTGTCTGAGCATAAATGTTCGAATCAATGCAATTACGCGTTAACTTTCTACTTATCAAATGGCTTAGTAGCTAATACTAAATATTTTTGTTGCAATATTGCACCAATGTTAAGAACTTATGCAGAATACAAAGCGTTATTAGAATTAACTTACATAAAATTGGTGTTAAACAAACTCTCATAATCCTGACTACTTAAACCTTGTCTGGAGTAATCATTTCTATGCGTTTATTATAAACCTTGCTTGGCTTTGCTCTGTTAGGTACATAACATAAAAATCAGAGGAATACACGGGGAGCACAATCTAGAGATTTTTTTCGTTTGCATTTAAGGGTATAATATTAAAGGGTATGCTAGTATGAATTTATCGTTCCTTCAATATATCAATCATTACGTTCCTTGTGCTGTAAATAAATAAGAAGACGCCTGTAAATTAAGGATCAAGTTTAACTTCAGGACTGTGTTTCAAATTCGTTCTTATTTCAATGGCTGCTTTTCAAAATGTACCTTTTTACCAACTTTTCACCCTGCTAGGTACTTTTCACTAAAGATTTTATCGGCACGAACGGTTCTTTGAAGCTTTAAAAATTCAACGCGCTCTGAAAATAGTAGGATATTTGGCACACCAAAAACATTCGTCGAACAAATATCCTTGAGTAATTCAACCGCTATGGTTCTGATGTTTGAGCATTTGCCAAGTCTCTCTTTGGCCGCTGGTGGCAACTTGTCAGTCACGTGTCGTGCGCCATTGTAAACTTGGCAATAGCCAAGATCGACACTTTAGTTGTCCAAATTAAAACTACATAAATCATTGCGCCTGCTACTTTAATAGGATTTAGGTTGTTCAAAAAAATATTTCTGTATCATAAGTACTGTTTTTGAGCATTATTGCCAAACAATTTTGATAACCACAGTCAACATTTTGGAAGTAAAAAT